GTCTCGCGGCCAGCGCACGGTCACCCTGCAGGAGGTGAACGGGTTGGTGCGGAGACGACTCGGTGAGCGGCTTTCATCCGGCAATGTCAACCAGGGCCGGGGGCGGGATTCTAGAGTTGCCAGCTCTGCTCCTCCACCGCCGCCACCGTGGTGATGGTGGTGGTGGTGGTCGTGGTCGCAGCGGCGGTGATGGTGGTGGTCGCAGTGGTGGTGGTGGCTGCCGGGACTGTCAGGGAGCAGGCTCGGGGCGGTCGCTGGCTGCTCCATCGCTGGGGAACGAGAAGATCGCACGCAGCGTGGGGAGAGAAACTCTTATAGTGTAGTAGATGATGATGAGAGAGAGACACGCAAACTCCAAGTATACAGCAGCAGGCGTCAGGGTCTGGATCGAACCCACGACTTCCTACGCACCAGGCGAGGTAGTCAACATCTCTGTAGCCGCCGCCGCTCACCGGGACGATTGCCGGGGCTCCGTCTGTTCCGCACGGTGCACACCAGCGCCAGCACCAGCACCAGCAGCGTTACCAGCAGCGTCGCCATGGCCACCAGCGAGCTGATGGAGGCGACACGGCCGCTGGCAAAGAGCGTCACCACGTCCCCCGTGGACACCCCACGCGAGGTGGATGGGGCGGTGGTGGTGGCGGTGCGGGTGGTGGTGCGGGTGGTGGTGGTGGGGGTGGTGGTGGTGGTGGGGGTGGTGGTGGCGGTGGCGGTGGTGGGGGTGGTGGTGGTGGTGGTGGGGGTGGGGGTGGTGGCGGTGGTGGCGGTGGTGGTGGGGGTGGTGGTGGGGGTGGTGGTGGTGGTGGCGGCGGTGGTGGTGGTGGTGGGGGTGGTGGTGGTGGGGGTGGTGGTGGTGGGGGTGGTGGTGGCGGTGGTGGTGGGGGTGGTGGTGGTGGGGGTGGTGGGGGTGGTGGTGGTGGGGGTTGTGGTGGTGGTGGTGGCGGCGGTGGTGGTGGCGGTGGTGGTGGTGGGGATGGGGGTGGTGGTGGGGGTGGTGGTGGCGGTGGTGGTGGGGGTGGTGGTGGCGGTGGTGGCGGTGGTGGTGGCGGGGGTGGTGGTGGTGGCAGCGGTGGTGGGGGTGGTGGTGGTGGTGGCAGCGGTGGTGGGGGTGGTGGTGGTGGTGGTGGCGGGGGTGGTGGCTACGAGATTGGGGACACACGAGGAGATACGGGGAGACATGGGGAGACAGAGTCACGGGGGAAACAGACAGAGACACAGTGAGACAGATACAGGCAGAGAGACACAGACAGAGACACAGTGAGACAGATACAGGCAGAGAGACAGATACACAGACAGAGACACAGACAGAGACACAGAGAGACACAGACAGAGACACAGACAGAGTGGGATGCTGAGCAGTGTTGTTGGATGAGGAGCGGTGGTGCAGCGGTTAGCGCTACACTGCGCTATGAACCCAGCGTCCCAGGTTCGATTCCCGCTCACGGCCAACACCGGTGACGATTATCTAAACCGTTCCCGGGCCTCCCCTAGGTCGCCTCAGCCTCAAAATGAGTACCTGGTGCGGCGTATAAACATCGCCACTGGGGAGACAAAGGCGGCCGGGCGTGGTGCTGGCCACCCACCCCCTCGTGTAAAGTTCTGACCTTCATAGGTGCTCGCTAACAGCACTTGCCCCAACAGTCTGTTAAGGCTACACGGGGGATATTTGTCTGTGTGTGTCTGTGTGTGTGTCTGTGTGTACCTGTCTGTGTGTTGTTGTTCAACACCGCCTTGCCAGGCACGCTGAGGAGAGGCTTGCGGAGCCCCAATGCGGTTTCAGGAAAGGGCGGTCCTGCACAGATGCCATATTTTCTGTCCGTCTGCTACAGCAGAGGTGTAGGGAATTCCAACAAGACCTACATCTCTGCTTTATTGACCTGGTCAAGGCCTATGATACCATCAGTAGGACTGGGCTCTGGGCAGTTTTTCGTGCTTTCGGAGTCCCTGACCCTCTGCTCACGATCATTAAGGACCTTCATGATGGTGAGCGGGCCCGGATAAAACTACGTGGCCGGGAGTCAGAGCCTTTCCCTGTACACCTTGGGGTGCGACAGGGATGTCCTCTGGCTCCCACATTATTTAACATTTATTTTAACCACATAGTTCGTGAAGCCTTCAATAGCTGTACCAGAGGAATTTCCATCTGTTACAGATACAATGGGAGGCTGATCGATGCCCGGGTGCGGTCAAGGGATGGCTCCCTATCGCTCAACCATGTTGCGTATGCTGATGATTTGGTAATAGCTGCTCATTCAGAAGAGGAGTTGGAGACGCTGCTGCTGAGACTGGAGCGTGCCACTAAGAGGTGGGGCCTTACCATCAGCCCCACCAAAACTAAGCACCTGCCTGGGTATTTTGTACCATTGGACACTCCACCCCCACAACTCCCAATTGGTGATTGAGGAGTTGTGGAGAGAGTGGAGAGTTTCCCATACCTGGGCAGTGTGCTCATGACTGGCTGAGGTCTCACTCCGAATCAGTCGAGCGGCATTACCTTTTCATCGGTTACATAATACTGTGTGGAAGCTACCTGGTTTGTCACTCCGCACGAATCTTCAGGTCTTCTCGGCCACGGTCATTCCCTCCCTTCTCTACGCATGCGAAAAGTGGACCCCCCTAATGGAACATATTCGCCGGTTAGAAACATTTAGGCTGGCCTGTCTACGATCCATCCTGGGTTTAACCTGCAGGCTGGATTGTGTGAGGAGCTCACAAATCCCAGAAAGATCTGGGCAAAGTCCCATTGGTGAGCTCCTCCGGCAGGCAAGGCTGCGTTGGCTGGGCCATGTAGCCTGCATGCCCAGCCACCGCATGTCTGAACAGCTTTTGTTCAGCCGGATAGAGAGGGCTAAATGGGTGCGCCACTCACCCACCCACTCACCCACTCACCCACTCAATCACTCAACTACTTACCAAATCACTCGCTCACCCACCCACTCACCCACCCACCCACTCACCCACCCACTCACTCACTCACTCACCCACCCACCCACTCACCCACTCAATCACTCACGCACCAACTCACTCAACCACCCACTCAGTCAACTACTCACCCACCCACTAAACCACCCACTCACTCAACTACTTACCAAATCACTCGCTCACCCACCCACTCACCCACCCACTCACCCACCCACCCACTCACTCACCCACCCACCTACTCACCCACCCACTCACTCACGCACCCACTCACTCAACCACCCACTCAGTCAACTACTCACCCACCCACTAACCCACCCACTCACTCAACTACTTACCAAATCACTCGCTCACCCACCCACTCACTCACCCACTCACTCACTCACCCACCCACCCACTCACCCACTCACCCACCCACTCACTCACTCACTCACCCACCCACCCACCCACCTACTCACCCACCCACTCACCCACCCACTCACTCACTCATTCACCCACCCACCCACCCACTCTCTCACCCACCAACTAACTCACCACCCACTCACTCACCCACCCACCCACTCACTCACCATCCCACTCACTCACCCACTCACCCACCCACCCACTCACCCACCCACCCACTCACCCACGGCGCTGTGTGGTGGAGGGACGGAGACACACGACAGTGGAGACCACTCCCCTGTCTTCCACCGCGGGTAGCGAGCCGTGACTCTCACGCGGACGCAGTACTCAGCAGCGCCTGCAGGCTGAGGCAGCGCGTGGCGGTAGCGACATCCCACAAAGCGCTCCTGGCAGGAGCAAGCAGATGGTCTCAGTGTGCCGGGTTACGTGGATGACACGTTGGTGGTCTGGCCACACGGCAAAGATAGACTGAGCGCGTTTCTAAATCATCTCAACTCGCAAAACCCATCCATCCAGTTCAGCATGGAAGTGGAAGCTGACAGAACTCAACCATTTCTGGACATTCAGTAGCAGCAGCAGCAATAGCATCGTCATCAGTAGTAGTAGCATCACCACCCACCCACTCACCCACTCACTCTCCCACCCACCCGCCCACCCACTCACCCACCCACCCACCCACTCACCAACCCACCCACCCACCCACTCACCAACCCACCCACTCACCCACTCACCCACCCACCCACCCACTCACTCACTCATCCACCCACTCACCCACTCACCCACTCACTCACCCACCCACTCACCAACCCACCCACTCATCCACTCACCCACCCACCCACCCACACACCCACCCACTCACCCACCCACTCACCCACCCACCCACACACCCACTCACCCCCTCACCCACTCACCCACCCACTCACCCACCCACTCACCCACCCACTCACCCACCCACTCACCCACCCACTCACCCACCCACCCACCCACTCACCCACCCACCCACCCACTCACACACACACACACCCACCCACCCACTCACACACACACACACCCACCCACTCACCCACCCACACACCCACTCACCCACTCACCCACCCACACACCCACTCACCCACCCACTCACCCACCCACCCACTCACCCACCCACTCACCCACCCACCCACTCACACACACACCCACCCACACACCCACTCACCCACCCACACACCCACTCACCCACCCACTCACCCACCCACTCACCCACCCACTCACCCACCCACCCACCCACCCACCCACTCACCCACCCACCCACCCACTCACCCACTCACCCACCCACTCACCCACACACCCACCCACCCACCCACTCTCACCGTGCTAGTCACACCCCTCCTTGTGGAGACCTCGGCTTGTAGATGGTACATCACGTCACTCTGCGCCATCCTCCTCCTCCACTCGCTCCTCATGGAGACCCGCACGGACAGCTCCCACCGCTCTCCCTCGTCGCCACCCGCCATCACCGTCATCGCCGCCATCACCGTCATCGTCGTCGTCATTCTCGTAGCCATCTTTGTCGTCATGTTTGTAGTCCTCACGCTCACTACCACACTCCTCCTCCTCGTCACCACCCTCGTCACCACCCTCCTCACCACCCTCCTCACCACCCTCCTCACCACCCTCCTCACCACCCTCCTCACCACCCTCCTCACCACCCTCCTCCAGCGTCGCATCCTTGTGGAGCATCAAGGTGACAGTCGGAGCACTCAGCACGGCTGAGACACACACAGACACACAGACACACACACAGACACACACACAGACACACACAGACACAGACACACACACACACACAGACACACACACACACAGAGACACTCACACACAGACACACACACAGAGACACTCACACACAGACACACACACACAGAGACACACACACAGACACACACACACACAGACACTCACACACAGAGACACACAGAGACACACACAGAGACACTCACACAGACACACACACAAACACACACATACACACACACAGAGACACACACACAGACACACACAGGGACACACACACAGAACCACTCACACAAAGAGACACTCACACACAGAGAGACACACTCACACAGACACACACACACAGACACACAAAGACACTCACACAAAGAGACACTCACACACAGAGACACACACACAGACACACACACAAAGAGACACTCACACACAGACACACACACAGAGAGACACTCACACACAGACACACACACAGAGAGACACACTCACACAGACACACACACAGACACACACAGAGACACTCACACAAAGAGACACTCACACACAGAGACACACACACAGAGACACACACAGAGACACACACAGACAGAGACACACAGAGACACTCACACACAGACACACACACACAGAGACACACACACAGAGAAACTCACACAGAGACACAGAGAGTGAGACACTCACACACAGACACAGAGACACACACAGAGACACTCACACACAGAGACACTCACACACAGAGACACTCACACAGATAAACTCACACAGAGACACAGAGAGTGAGACACTCACACACAGACACAGAGACACACACAGAGACACTCACACACAGAGACACTCACACACAGAGACACTCACACAGAGAAACTCACACAGAGACACAGAGAGTGAGACACTCACACACAGACACAGAGACACACACAGAGACACTCACACACAGAGACACTCACACACAGAGACACTCACACAGAGAAACTCACACAGAGACACAGAGAGTGAGACACTCACACACAGACACAGAGACACACACAGAGACACACACACAGAGACACTCACACACAGAGACACTCACACAGAGAAACTCACACAGAGACACAGAGAGTGAGATACTCACACACAGACACAGAGACACACACAGAGACACACACACAGAGACACTCACACACAGAGACACTCACACAGAGAAACTCACACAGAGACACAGAGAGTGAGATACTCACACACAGACACAGAGACACACACAGAGACACTCACACACAGAGACACTCACACACAGAGACACTCACACACAGAGACACACACACAGACACACACACTCATACACAGAGACACACAGACACACACACAGAGACACTCACACACAGAGACACTCACACAGAGACACTCACACAGAGACACAGAGAGTGAGACACTCACACACAGACACAGAGACACAGACAGAGACACAGACAATGCCACTCACTTGTCTTCAAGGGTAACACATCAACCACGACCCAGGGTGACGATGATGGTGGTGATGGTGGTGGTGATGATGGTGGTGATGGTGACGATGATGGTGTTGGTGGTGGTGATGAGACGGTGGATCTGACGCGAAGTTGATAGCGGTCGCCGGGATGTCGCAGCGCTGAGGAGACATCGCACCGTGTCTCTGCGGTGGCAGCGCAGACGGTCCGCCAGCGGGCTCGTCCATAGCTGCACAGACAGAGACACGGGGAGGAGGAGGTGGTGGTGAGGAGTGGGTGGGTGAGTGGGTGAGTGGGTGGGTGAGTGGGTGGGTGGGTGGGTGAGTGGGTGGGTGAGTGAGTGAGTGAGTGGGGTGGGTGAGTGGGTGGGTGAGTGGGTGGGTGGGTGGGTGAGTGGGTGGGTGAGTGAGTGGGTGAGTCAGTGAGTGAGTGGGTGGGTGAGTGGGTAAGTGGGTGAGTGGGTGGGTGGGTAGGTGGGTGGGTGAGGGGGTAGGTGAGTCGGTGGGTGGGTAGGTGGGTGGGTGGGTGAGTGGGTGGGTGAGTGGGTGAGTGCGTGAGTCAGTGAGTGAGTGGGTGGTTGAGTGGGTGAGTCAGTGAGTGAGTGGGTGAGTGGGTGAGTCAGTGAGTGGGTGGGTGAGTGGGTGGGTGAGTGGGTGGGTGGGTGAGTGGATGGGTGGTTGAGTGAGTGGTTGAGCGAGTGGATGAGTGAGTGGATGGGTGAGCGAGTGGGTGAGTGAGTGAGCGAGTGGATGAGTGAGCGAGCATCTCACAGTTTGCTGTCCACCCTGTAGGTAACGTCCAGGAGCTTTGAGCTGCTGCTGGTGGCGACGTCCACTTGAGCGTCGTGGTCCCAGCGGAGTTGCGTCAGCAGGTCGCGAGACTCCACGCGGACATTCAGAGGGGGAGTCGCAGCTGGGGAGATGGGCAGTGTGCGCTAACCACTGCACCACCGCTCCCCACACACACACACAGTGCGCTAACCACTGCACCACCGCTCCCCACACACACACACAGTGCGCTAACCACTGCACCACCGCTCCCCACACTGCGCTAACCACTGCACCACCACTCCCCACACACACACAGTGCGCTAACCACTGCACCACCGCTCCCCCCACACACACACAGTGCGCTAACCACTGCACCACCGCTCCCCCCACACACGCACACAGTGCGCTAACCACTGCACCACCGCTCCCCACACACACACACACAGTGCGCTAACCACTGCACCACCGCTCCCCACACACACACAGTGCGCTAACCACTGCACCACCGCTCCCCACACACACACAGTGCGCTAACCACTGTACCACCACTCCCCCCACACACACACAGTGCGCTAACCACTGTACCACCACTCACACACACAGTGCGCTAACCACTACACCACCGCTCCCCACACACACACAGTGCGCTAACCACTGCACCACCGCTCCTCACATACACACAGTGCGCTAACCACTGCACCACCGCTCCCCGCTCAACACACACAGTGCGCTAACCACTGCACCACCACTCCCACCCCCACACAGTGCGCTAACCACTGCACCACCGCTCCCCACACACACACAGTGCGCTAACCACTGCACCACCACTCCCCACACACTGTGCTAACCACTGCACCACCGCTCCCCACACTGCGCTAACCACTGCACCACCACTCCCCACACACACACAAAGTGCGCTAACCACTGCACCACCACTCCCCACACAAAGTGCGCTAACCACTGCACCACCACTCCCCACTCACACACACAGTGCGCTAACCACTGCACCACCGCTCCCCACACACACACACACAGTGCGCTAACCACTGCACCACCGCTCCCCACACACACACAGTGCGCTAACCACTGCACCACCGCTCCCCACACACACACAGTGCGCTAACCACTGTACCACCACTCCCCCCACACACACACAGTGCGCTAACCACTGTACCACCACTCACACACACAGTGCGCTAACCACTACACCACCGCTCCCCACACACACACAGTGCGCTAACCACTGCACCACCGCTCCTCACATACACACAGTGCACTAACCACTGCACCACCGCTCCCCGCTCAACACACACAGTGCGCTAACCACTGCACCACCACTCCCACCCCCACACAGTGCGCTAACCACTGCACCACCGCTCCCCACACACACACAGTGCGCTAACCACTGCACCACCACTCCCCACACACTGTGCTAACCACTGCACCACCGCTCCCCACACTGCGCTAACCACTGCACCACCACTCCCCACACACACACAAAGTGCGCTAACCACTGCACCACCACTCCCCACACAAAGTGCGCTAACCACTGCACCACCACTCCCCACTCACACACACAGTGCGCTAACCACTGCACCACCACTCCACACTCACACACAAAGTGCGCTAACCACTGCACCACCACTCCCCACTCACACACAAAGTGCACTAACCACTGCACCACCGCTCCCCACACAAAGTGCGCTAACCACTGCACCACCACTCCCCACTCACACACACAGTGCGCTAACCACTGCACCACCGCTCCCCCCACACACACACAGTGCGCTAACCACTGCACCACCGCTCCCCACTCACACACACAGTGCACTAACCACTGCACCACCGCTCCCCACACAAAGTGCGCTAACCACTGCACCACCACTCCCCACTCACACACACAGTGCGCTAACCACTGCACCACCGCTCCCCCCACACACACACAGTGCGCTAACCACTGCACCACCGCTCCCCCCACACACACACACAGTGCGCTAACCACTGCACCACCGCTCCCCACACACACACACAGTGCGCTAACCACTGCACCACCGCTCCCCACACACACACAGTGCGCTAACCACTGCACCACCGCTCCCCACACACACACAGTGCGCTAACCACTGTACCACCACTTCCCCCACACACACACAGTGCGCTAACCACTGTACCACCACTCACACACACAGTGCGCTAACCACTACACCACCGCTCCCCACACACACACAGTGCGCTAACCACTGCACCACCGCTCCTCACATACACACAGTGCGCTAACCACTGCACCACCGCTCCCCGCTCAACACACACAGTGCGCTAACCACTGCACCACCACTCCCACCCCCACACAGTGCGCTAACCACTGCACCACCGCTCCCCACACACACACAGTGCGCTAACCACTGCACCACCACTCCCCACACACTGTGCTAACCACTGCACCACCGCTCCCCACACTGCGCTAACCACTGCACCACCACTCCCCACACACACACAAAGTGCGCTAACCACTGCACCACCACTCCCCACACAAAGTGCGCTAACCACTGCACCACCACTCCCCACTCACACACAAAGTGCGCTAACCACTGCACCACCACTCCCCACTCACACACAAAGTGCACTAACCACTGCACCACCGCTCCCCACACACACACAGTGCGCTAACCACTGCACCACCGCTCCCCCCCCACACACAGTGTGCTAACCACTGCCCCACCGCTCCCCACACACACACAGTGTGCTAACCACTGCCCCACCGCTCCCCACACACACACAGTGTGCTAACCACTGCCCCACCGCTCCCCACACACACACACACAGTGCGCTAACCACTGCACCACCACTCCCCACACACACACAAAGTGCGCTAACCACTGCACCACCACTCCCCACACAAAGTGCGCTAACCACTGCACCACCACTCCCCACTCACACACACAGTGCGCTAACCACTGCACCACCACTCCCCACTCACACACACAGTGCGCTAACCACTGCACCACCGCTCCCCCCACACACGCACACAGTGCGCTAACCACTGCACCACCGCTCCCCACACACACACACAGTGTGCTAACCACTGCACCACCGCTCCCCACACACACACACACACAGTGCGCTAACCACTGCACCACCGCTCCCCACACACACACAGTGCGCTAACCACTGCACCACCGCTCCCCACACACACACAGTGCGCTAACCACTGTACCACCACTCACACACACAGTGCGCTAACCACTACACCACCGCTCCCCACACACACACAGTGCGCTAACCACTGCACCACCGCTCCTCACATACACACAGTGCGCTAACCACTGCACCACCGCTCCCCGCTCAACACACACAGTGCGCTAACCACTGCACCACCACTCCCACCCCCACACAGTGCGCTAACCACTGCACCACCGCTCCCCACACACACACAGTGCGCTAACCACTGCACCACCACTCCCCACACACTGTGCTAACCACTGCACCACCGCTCCCCACACTGCGCTAACCACTGCACCACCACTCCCCACACACACACAAAGTGCGCTAACCACTGCACCACCACTCCCCACACAAAGTGCGCTAACCACTGCACCACCACTCCCCACTCACACACACAGTGCGCTAACCACTGCACCACCACTCCCCACTCACACACAAAGTGCGCTAACCACTGCACCACCACTCCCCACTCACACACAAAGTGCACTAACCACTGCACCACCGCTCCCCACACACACACAGTGCGCTAACCACTGCACCACCGCTCCCCCCCCACACACAGTGTGCTAACCACTGCCCCACCGCTCCCCACACACACACAAAGTGCGCTAACCACTGCACCACCGCTCCCCACACACACACAGTGCGCTAACCACTGCACCACCGCTCCCCACACACACACAGTGTGCTAGCCACTGCCCCACCGCTCCCCACACACACACAGTGTGCTAACCACTGCCCCACCGCTCCCCACACACACACACACACAGTGCGCTAACCACTGCACCACCACTCCCCACACACACACAAAGTGCGCTAACCACTGCACCACCACTCCCCACACAAAGTGCGCTAACCACTGCACCACCACTCCCCACTCACACACACAGTGCGCTAACCACTGCACCACCACTCCCCACTCACACACACAGTGCGCTAACCACTGCACCACCGCTCCCCCCACACACGCACACAGTGCGCTAACCACTGCACCACCGCTCCCCACACACACACACACAGTGCGCTAACCACTGCACCACCGCTCCCCACACACACACAGTGCGCTAACCACTGCACCACCGCTCCCCACACACACACACAGTGCGCTAACCACTGTACCACCACTCCCCCCACACACACACAGTGCGCTAACCACTGCACCACCGCTCCCCACACACACACAGTGCGCTAACCACTGTACCACCACTCCCCCCACACACACACAGTGCGCTAACCACTGTACCACCACTCACACACACACACAAAGTGCGCTAACCACTGCACCACCACTCCCCACACAAAGTGCGCTAACCACTGCACCACCACTCCCCACTCACACACACAGTGCGCTAACCACTGTACCACCACTCCCCCCACACACACACAGTGCGCTAACCACTGTACCACCACTCACACACACAGTGCGCTAACCACTACACCACCGCTCCCCACACACACACAGTGCGCTAACCACTGCACCACCGCTCCTCACATACACACAGTGCGCTAACCACTGCACCACCGCTCCCCGCTCAACACACACAGTGCGCTAACCACTGCACCACCACTCCCACCCCCACACAGTGCGCTAACCACTGCACCACCGCTCCCCACACACACACAGTGCGCTAACCACTGCACCACCACTCCCCACACACTGTGCTAACCACTGCACCACCGCTCCCCACACTGCGCTAACCACTGCACCACCACTCCCCACACACACACAAAGTGCGCTAACCACTGCACCACCACTCCCCACACAAAGTGCGCTAACCACTGCACCACCACTCCCCACTCACACACACAGTGCGCTAACCACTGCACCACCACTCCCCACTCACACACAAAGTGCGCTAACCACTGCACCACCACTCCCCACTCACACACAAAGTGCACTAACCACTGCACCACCGCTCC